TATTGTCTTAGTTCTGATGTCACAATGCCATGACATCATACCTATTGTCTTAATTCTGATGTCACAATGCCATGACATCATACCTATTGTCTTAATTCTGATGTCACAATGCCATGACATCATACATATTGTCTTAATTCTGATGTCACAATGCCATGACATCATAAATATTGTCTTAATGCCATGACATCATACCTATTGTCTTAGTTCTGATGTCTCAATGCCGTGACATCATACCTGTTGTCTTAATGCCGTGACATCATACCTATTGTCTTAGTTCTGATGTCGCAATGCTGTGACATCATACCTATTGACTTAGTTCTGATGTCGCAACGCCGTGACCTATTGTCTTAGTTCTGATGTCACAATGCCATGACATCATACCTATTTTCTTAATTCTGATGTCACAATGCCATGACATCATACCTGTTGTCTTAATGCAATGACATCATACCTATTGTCTTAGTTCTGATGTCTCAATGCCGTGACATCATACCTGTTGTCTTAATGCCGTGACCACATACCTATTGTTTTAGTTCTGATGTCGCAATGCCGTGACATCATACCTATTGACTTAGTTCTGATGTCGCAATGCCGTGACATCATACCTATTTTCTTAGTTCTGATGTCACAATGCCATGACATCATACCTATTGTCTTAGTTCGGATGTCACAATGCCATGACATCATACCTTTTGTCTTAGTTCTGATGTCTCAATGCCATGACATCATATCTGCTGTCTTAGTTCTGATGTCACAATGCCATGACATCATATCTGTTGTATTAGTTGTAATGTTGTATAAGTTCTGATGTCACATTTCTATGACATTGTATTGATTGTCTTAAATCCAATGTCATAAAGCCATGACATCATGTCTGTTGTATTAGTTATTTTAAAGGCCTTTGGCTGTCTACATGACACTCATACAACTAGCTCACATGGTCCAAAGGACTGGTGAACTTATGACATGGTGCAGCATGTCGTCTGTCGTCCATCAACTTTTTAGGTCACCTGAGACAAAGTNTTATTGTTTTTTGTCACTTTGAATAATATTTCTGTTCATGTTAAAAACAAAATCAACTCTCTGTATAAATATATTAGGTGACCGTTAAGGCCCATGGGCCTCTTATTTCTTTAAAGTGCTATTAGGCCTTAATGGCTCAGTCGAATTTAAACAAATTTTGTCTGGGGCATCCTTGGCCGAAAGGTTCTCAATTTTGTATAAAAGGAGGATGGGGGCAGAGGGATGGGGCCCAATAGGGGAAATAGAAATAAATCTTCAAAAATCTTCTCCTTCCATACCGATGGAGAGATTTTAACCAAATTTGTGCTAGAGCATCTTTGGTCCCCCCTTGCGGCAGAGGGTCCAAATAGCGAAAATAGAGTTAAATCTTCAAAAACCACCTTCCGCACTAATGGAGGGATTTAAAGTAAAAATCAGAAGCATCCTTAGGGTTAGGGAGTGCCCCCCTCGGATGGTAAAGAAGTGGGACCCAGTAGAATTTTGTACAAATGGAGGATGCCCCAGGGGGCAGAGGGGCAGGGCCAAATTGGGAATCTGGAGGTAAATCCTTATAAATCCTTATTCCTTCCATAGGAATGGAGGGATTTTAACCAAGTTTGGTCTAGAGCATCTTTGTGCAAAGAGGACTTTTTTTTTTAAAAGGAGAGTGTAGGGCACCTAGGGGCAGAGAGAAAAGAGAGTAAATGAATAAAATCCTTAACATTTCGTATGAGGATTTTCCCCCCATTCTTTAACCGGATATACAGTAGCTAGGCTTGAAGAGAAGAGACATTTATGATACCAGGATTGGCCCAGAGGTCTCAGACCCACCCCATGGGGACTTACTACCTGGGTCATAACATGGAAATTGTTGAGATCGCCAGTCCATAACCATGAACAAAATTGCTCGCCATGAAGAATACACTCTTGCTCTTGGTTTCTTACACACCCAAACAGATTAAGTTCTTCTTCCAGCTTGTATTTTTTAACCCCTTTGATAAACTGGTACGGTATTCATCAGGTTTTAGATTGAAAATAAAATACAAGGTAAGCTGTTAAGGCCCCTGGGTATCTTGTTTCATGTTTTACAGACAGAATCAATCTGGGTTTTCTTTCAGCCTGGCTGATCACAGTATTCACTCTATTTGATAAAATATTATTGGTATCTAGGATCATATGTATTGCTACAAGCCAGGGTATCTAATAGATATATAGACAATATGGAATGTAATAAAAATAAAATTATATATATGGAATTGTAACCATGGTTAGAATTTTTGATAGTGGATAAGGCAAAGTTTAGGTGGCAAATTTCATTCAGAACGAAATGTTGAAAAAAAAATGGGTCTTTGCTGTTGAGATATTCAGATAAATTAATTACATTAGAATGATTTGTCCAGTAGTGAAATGTGGAAAAAAAGAAAATCTGTTTTAGATTATTTTCATCTACATCTGACAAAAATGTATTTGTTTTTAACCCTTTCATCCCTATGAATATTGATGAGTCCATTATGGTCTACAGTGGTGAAAGGGTTAAGTCAAAAATAAAATTCTGTACTCAAAAATACAGAAGATTTTAAGTGTTATAGACCATTTAAAGTACCTATCATGTATGTATGATTAACAGAGAGAAAAAAATAACGACGACGAGGATGGGATTCGAACCCACGCGGGGAGACCCCAATGGATTAGCAGTCCATCGCCTTAACCACTCGGCCACCTCGTCTGGTTAGGAGGAGTGGCTGTGTTGAAAGAGGTTATTACTGTACATGTCTCGTGTACTCATAATCGTTTATTTTTTGATAGATTGCATTTTTTATTGATTTTTTAGAACCTGCATCAACTTAAGAATATTCTTCTGCTTTCATGTGTGTTGTTTGCAACTTTACACAAGTTGTCAGTCGCATACATGTGTGCAATGGGCTAATAACACTTCGGCTCGACACATTTGCCAAGTTTATTTCCGGTGCACTTTTAGGTCACACAAGGATGTCAGCTGCTATGATGTCGTCCATAATTTAGCGGTGGATTGAAGTCGACCGGGCTGCTGTTAACATATTGCACGGTAAGTCTTTGTGTGTGTTGTTGTCGTGATGAGCTGTGTGTTAATTAGTTTAACTGACACCAAGACACACTTTCTATTGATTACATTAGGCGGTGTAGTGACAGTCACAGTTGACTCCAGGCGCACCTGTCATCATGCTTGTGTGTTTATGACCGTTAGCACTGTCCATGACCGACCCGCTGTACAAGCGTGACCGGGTGTCCTATCTCAATCTATCACTTTCGAGTTTTCTCGGTCAAACTAAATGGCTAACGGTGATCGTGTGTTTATCAGTTTAAACTCTCACGTCCCCTCACGTGTAACAGTATACTAGATCTTGGATCGTCTACAAACTTGACAGTCACAAGGACCGATGGTATTGCACTGTTTTATTTTTACCTGCGAATCGTGAAGCAAATACTCACATGTTCTTCAATTTGCCTCATTGAATTTTTGAAAATTTATTATTTTAACATAGACTGACTCACTGTTTTTTCTAACCTAGGAAATGACTCACCATATAGACAAGTTCTTGCTATGTAAAAAGTAATAAAACCAAATGCACTTGAGATTTTGTTACAGGTGTGTTTGGACCTGTCGTGTTGTTTAGAATGTAACGCTGGCCATTTAAAGGGTTTAGATCAACATCGTGAAAATGCTAGCCCCGCCGATGATTTACACTAGATTTACACTAGATTCGTCGCACCCGAAAGCTCTTATATATAATGT